TTTTTTCAGCAAACCCTCCTCTGCCTCCCCCCGCCACCCTATGGTCAGAATTCGCTCTTCCTCAAAAAATGAGGTTTACGTGGCTTTTCGACAAGGGGAGGGAGGGGGTTTCGCTGAAAAAGCCATGTCTAAACTACTGTCACTTTTGAAAGTGCAATTGGAAGAAGATATGCAAATTCCTGTGGAATTTGCATATCCTCTTTCGACCAAACCACATAGTCTAGATGAGCCCTTAGTTTACACTGGCTTCTGCCATTGCGAAACAGGCCGTAGGCCGTTGGAGTAGATAGTCTGCTGAGAGGGAAATTCCACAAGGTGCTGTCAAGTTCCCCTCCACCTGGGAGCCTTGCAAGGGCCAGTGGTGTCTGAAAAGTGAGTAGAACACCTCCAAGAAAGGGACAGACGAATGATTTGGTGTAGCGTCAGACATGCTGGGGAGCATGGATCTGTGGGCTTCCTGGCAAGGTGGGTGGAGGGCAGGCTCTACATGCCTAGAAGGGGCGGGGTCTGGGCAAACCAGCCTTCAGCTTCAGTGGGACCGCAGCACTGCGCCTACCCACCAGCCCTCAGAGTCACACGGTGCAGCACTCCAGTGGCAACTTAAAGGGCCCATGGCTCCAGTCACTGCCACTGCTGCAGTAGCAGCAGCCAGGAGACTTTGAATTGCTTGGACCCGGGGCTGCTGCCCTCTTACCCCACCTGCATTGGCAGGCCTGCAGCTAATAAGCCTGGAGTCACCATGGGAAACCAAAGTTACCCTCACTGTAGAGGACTGGGCATTTGGGGAAACCCAGCCTGTACTTCACCCAGGTGATTAACCCTGAACAAAGAGGTTCTGTTGGACTCTCTAAAGAGTGACTCTTTTTCTTCATTTGGAGTTCTGCTTTGTTCCCTTGAGAACAGGAGATATTGTAGCTACATGCTAGACACAGGTTTACTGGATCAAATCACTCCCACAGCAAAAGGAAAACAATAAGGAGCGTGAGATTTTTTTCCCTCAGCCTTCACATTACACAGTTTTTCAGGGAACAACCTGAAAATTAAAAACAGAACTGTGAAAGCCAACATTCTGTGATTTTCAAAAATCAAATCATTAAGTTGACATAAAACAAAAAATTAAGTTTTGAAATTTCCTAAGGAAAAATCTAGATTTTTCATGAGGAAATTTCAGTTCTAATGAGGTGGTAAGAAAATTTCCTGAACAGAAACTTTCTACCAGTTTTCCTCGTAGTACCGACCCAAAAACCAGTGCATTACAGAGGAAGTGTCTGTTGTTATATGGCAGCATGCACTCTCCACATGTTCTTCAGAGAAAATTAGCCAGGTGCTAAAACTCGGGGTCTCTCTCCATATTTCTCTATTTCCAAATTTGTTAGTCTGATGTAATCTAAATAAGAATCAAAACACAGCTTTTTGTTAAGAAAATGCTACTGAAGATTTCTCACGAGACAGAGTGTTAAGACTTCAGTCTGAGCAACTATGAGCACTTTGCATGTTACAGGTTTTAAAAGACAGATGGTTGTGTTAGCTGTTTTTCTGATGTGTTAACATGTGATTACTTTGTTTCTTACAGCTTCCTGGGGTTGAGGCTTGTGAGAACTACACTTTCCGATATGGCCGAAACCCTTTAATGGAACTTCCTCTTGCCATCAACCCCACGGGCTGTGCCCGTGCTGAGCCTAAAATGAGTACCCATGTCAAGAGGTTTGTGTTAAGGTATTTTGTTTTAACTTCACATAGTACAGCCCAGGGTTTATAGGCTGCTTAGGGTTATTTGTGCTTTTGTCTGCTGCTTACAAACCCTGTTGTCTTTGGCTGTGTATGTGCATGCTCGAATCAAAGGAACCGCTTTGTTGTCTACGCTAGCTGGCTTTTAAGTGTATGTTTGTTTGAAAGAAATTTTAATAAAACTCAGCTTGTGATTTTATTCGGAGAACTCTTCAGTTTTTCTTGTATTTTTTCTGTTATATGCCCAATTCTTACAGGCCTCACACCTTGAATAGCACCAGCACCTCAAAGTCATTTCAGAGCACAGTGACAGGAGAGCTAAATGCGCCTTACAGTAAACAGTTTGTCCATTCCAAGTCCTCCCAATACCGCAAAATGAAGACTGAATGGAAATCCAATGTATATCTGGCTCGCTCTCGGATTCAGGTCAGTTACAACATAGTTGTATTTTTGAGATTTTATTCCTAAATACAATTCCCAATAAGTCTGTAGTGTCTAGTAAAATCTGAAGGGAATTTGCAGCATGTGTGTGGTGATCGATTTCCATCTATTGTGTGTAACATTTTTCCCTGAATTTAATTGACTGAAGCTCTAGCTCAGGGGTGGGCAACAATTTTTGATGGGGGCCCACTCCAAAAATGTGGTAAGTGATCAAGGGCCACACTTTTCCATGATATTAATGGAGGAAGTGTGGGGTCTGGGATGAACTTGGGTGCAGAAGGGAGCTCAGGATAAGGGACTGGGATGCAGGAAGGGAGGGAATTGCGTGAAGAAGGGTGGTTGTGACCTGGGACAGGAGACTGGTGTGCAGAAGGGGATGCAGAGTCTGGGAGGGATACAGGAAGGAGTGCAGGAGTCTGGGAGGAGGTTGCAACTTGGTGCAGGGGCAGGGTGCAGGGATCTGGGTTATGATTGGAGTTAGGGGATTAAAATGCAAGAAGTGGAAGAGGATTGTGAAGTGGATGAGGAGATGAAGGGTATGAGAGAGGGTTGTGACCTGAAGCAGGAGTGCAGGCTTTGGTTAGGAGGCGCTTACCTGGGTGGTTCCTGGCCAGCAGCCCAGCAGTTTCCTCAGCCATGTCCCTGCCATCCATGCCCCTGCACTGGCCATGGGAACCATGTGCGGTTCTGAGCACTGAGAGCCTGGAAGGGAAGTACTTCGTGCAAACAGGCAGCTCCCATAGGCCAGAAACTGGCCAATGGGAGCTGCAATATTGTGCTGAGGGGGAGGGCAGCATGCAAAGTCTCCTCCTCTACTCCTCCCACCCTCTCCAGCCCATCCACACTCACAGCATTCAGAAAGCTCCTCTGAACAACTTGTGGAGGTGGGGCAGGCAGGAAGAGATCTTACGGAAAAACTTCTTTTGTTGTGTGGACGCTCTCTTTCAAAAGTGCATCAAAAAAGCAATCTACTTTTTTGAAAGATAGCGTCCACATTGATTAGATGCTAGTTCTCTCACATTTAAGTTGTGATTACTATGGACGGAGAGGCCACCAGGGCACCTGTGCTTTTTCCTGGAGGCCTCTTCTTTCAAAAACCCCTCCCTCTTCACTGTCCATATGCCTTTTTCTGAAAGAACTCTTTCGGCAAAAGGCTTCTTCCTCGTAGAAAGAGGTTTACTGCTGTCAGAAAAACTCCTGCATTCTTTTGAGTTTCTGTCAAAAGAACGCAATTGCAGTGTGGACGTAAGTGTAGTTTTTCCAGAAAAATGGCTGTTTTTCTGAACATACCCTGAGGCTTCCATGACCGTAATTTGCCCACCCCTGCTCTAGCTTGGAAAACTGAGTTGTGTTGTTTTACAAATACAGTCTTAACTTTTTTTCTTAAAACATATTGCCGTTTAAAAACTGTTAAAACCGTTAAAAAACCTAAAATATACTTATTCTTTTTACCAGCAGCAGAAGGATCGCCTGCATATCTAGTAGCTAGTTTTATTTAGTCCATACTAGCTAATTAAGTGATGGAGAACAGAAATAATGTGAGAACAGGATGTTGAGTAAAATACTTTGTCATGTTAATTAAATAGTCAATATATTGCCTTATAGTGTCCTCCCAGGTGTTCAGCTTCACTGAACATCTTGCCAAGTCTGTACACCATGGCTTGTATGTGTTTGCTGTATATTTTAGATTGTCTTGTGAAAAATTATTTAAATGATTAAAACATTATAGCACACTTTTTTAATTCTATGGTTCTAGAAAATACCGTATTTGTTCAAGGAATTTACAATGTTTGTATAGCAGGAGTCAGATAGCCCTAAATTAAGAACCCTACTATCACAATTGGCTGCAAGGTAAATAATTGCAAAGCATGTTCTCTTATTTTACTACAACTAGAAAATTAAATGCAGAAAACTGATTTTGTGCCATTAAAGCTGTATAGTTAATATCACAAAAAATCAGGAGATGCAGAAGTGAAGAAATCGTAGAATGTAACTGCTCAGATAATTCTCTGTTTCAGACTTTAAAAGGCTATATTAATTCAGCCATGTTGCACATGTACCCTAACTTTCCTGTGTCCTGGGTAAATATGTCACTTAATATATCACTGTTCATATTTCAGATTGTGTATTGTTAAACATATTGAATATGTATATATGCTGAAGCTAAAGTTATGTTTTCATTTGATGAACTTTTGTGTTTTTTCAACAGTGTCACTTTTTTAATCTTTCACTGAGTGTCCTTTTTGCATATGTAGAAATAGATTTTCTCCGACTGTGGCTTTGGGCACCTCAAAGCAATCAAATATAAATGTGCATTGATTCTCCAGTTCTAAATCAGAGTATTCCTTTTGTAGGGCCTAGGCTTATATGCTGCTAGAGACATTGAAAAGCACACCATGATCATTGAATATATTGGAACTATCATCCGTAATGAGGTAGCAAACAGGAAAGAGAAGCTATATGAATCTCAGGTATTGTATATTTTTATTTACTCTTCTTTTCCTTCTCCTTTCTTTTACTTCGTTTTCCTAGTATTCATGCAACAAAATTAGATGTGTTGCCAGCATTTTAAAACTTCCGTCCTGAGGAAGCTGAGTCAAAGGGACATACGCTGATCTTACAGTTGTATAAGCACAGAAAGCTTAGGGCTTCAATTTTTAGGGAGCCCTTTTTAAGTAAGGGTTAACCTCTTTGTGCCCACTGAGATGTTGTGAGGATCCATTGGTAAAGCGCTTTGCGAGCTTATAAGAAAGCTGCTATACAAATCATATTAGCATATTACTTGAGGGAGTTATTCAAACACGGGAGGTTTTCTCTTGTGTTTATGGCACATAAGTAGTTACATCAGTGATAGTATCCCATTTTCACATTGTAAGTGAAAAGTATGAATCAGTGCTTCCTTAGAGAGCCAATGGGCCATGTCTAAATGTGAATCCAGAAAAATACTTGGACATAAACCATGTTCATGGTTGCTTTTTTTAATCATTGATTTTTTCTTGTAAAAATCTACAGCGGCTTTTCTCCCCACTCTTTTTCAGAATCGTGGAGTGTACATGTTCCGCATTGACAATGATCATGTCATTGATGCTACATTGACAGGAGGGCCTGCGAGGTGGGTGGCTCTACAGAGAGCTGTGATCTCATGTTTGGAAATTAGCCATGTTCCCTTGACTGGCTCTTGGTGAGGGATCCCATTTTGTGCTTTATTTCAATGGCCTTATTCTCTAAGCTGCAGAATTCAGTCTTCACACTAAGCCGCTGAAGCAAAGCCAATTTTCTCATTAACTCTCCATAGCCTTGATCAACTGTTTCATGGAAGATGTACAGCTGGTAGAAAAAGAAATGTAATTTTTTGAAATTTTTTTAACATTATTCTAGGGAAACAAGTACAGGGTAATGTAAATGTAGCTAGAAAAATTGTTCAACCTAAAGCTTAAGATAATCAGTGGTTGTTTAGTTTAGATTTGTGTCCAGTTATATAGCTTTTAAAATTACATATTGCAAATCTTATTTTTGTAGGTATATTAACCATTCATGTGCACCTAACTGTGTAGCTGAGGTGGTGACTTTTGAGAGAGGACACAAGATTATCATCAGCTCCAACAGGAGAATCCAGAAGGGGGAGGAGGTACCTTACTCATTTGCTTATGTTTTGTTGTTCCCGTTGATTTTATTCTTTTCCTAAATGATCATATATGTTGTACTATCATTAGCACAGGCAAACTGCTTATTCGGACTTGGGCCAGATCCTGGTGTCCAACATTTTCCGTCCCCTTCCTCAAGAATTAAAGTTCCCAAAAGTATATAATGAAGCATATAGAACAATCGACCCAAAAGTGTAAAGAATACAGACCAGAAATTTCATAACCACCTCTCGACATTTGTTTTATTCCAGCTTTGCTATGACTATAAGTTTGATTTTGAAGATGACCAGCACAAGATCCCATGTCACTGTGGAGCTGTAAACTGCCGAAAATGGATGAACTAGAATGCATTCCTTGCTGTCTTTGAGGGTTGCTTGTCCCCAAGAAGAAGTGACTTACATTTTGATTTTGTCGACAGAAAATTCTTACCTTCCTGAGTTGTAGGAATTAAAATCACTTCTGGGAGTTTCAATTTCTATTCAAGTGTAAAACAAGCACCAGAAGCAAGCCGGCAAAATCTGAAGCTGTCTAACTTCCCAGATGCCTGGAGGTTAAACTGAATTATAAAATGGTCCAGCACTTTTGTTTTTTGAGCTCACTACGGAGAAACTGTTCAATTTGGGCAAAGAACCGATGGCTGACCTGCTGGAGGGCAGGTGGGCATATATGAATGTAAGACTGAAATCACCAGCGAAAGGGAGAAGTCCAAAGTGCTGGCCACAGCCTTATTTGATAAAGGGGCAGGCCCTCTAATTAAAGAAAATTTTTAAATAAAAGTAGACACCACTGAACAAGGAATGTACTGAAATGACTTCCTTAGGGATAGAGCTAAGGGAAAAATAACTTGCACTAAAATACATTTAAAATACTTGATTCCATGAGTCAGTTTATTGTAGTTTTTGATTTCTGTAAAATAAGAGAAACTTTTTGTATTTATTATTGAATAAGTGAATGAAGCTATTTTTAAAAAAAAGTTAGAAGAAAGCCAAGCTGCTGCTGTTACCTGCAGAACTAACAAACCCTGTTACTTTGTAAAAAAGTGTAAATATTTTGAGAAAAAAATACAGTATAAAAATAGTTATTGACCAAATGCTACCAGACTCTGCAGCAGTTCGGGTGCTTATTATAAAATGTCAATAGGGATGTTACAATATGATCTCATGTGTTACTAACCATGCCATTACAATTATTATGGAATAACCAAAATCTCAATTTAAAGAGAGGATTTATTTTAAATGTTTAAAACTGGCTCAACTGTGGTCTACAGAACTTTTTTTTTTTTAAGTAAACTTTAAGCCTGGTAGAAGGCATGTATATTACAACTACGACTTTTATAGATGCTTCGGTAAGTTAGACTGATTTTATTTTATTTGTATTATATTGTTGCATCCCTATTTCTTAAGTCAGGTTTTTTGTGCTTACAATTTGTGATAACTGTGAATAACTGCTAAAACCACCCAAAATAGAGGATGAATATAGTTTCTTCTGCGGAAAAAGTAGTCACAATTAGGTGACTGTTCAGCTTACACTAAATCATGTAAACAGGATAGGATCATGTAGTGGGAGCTTAAATCTAATATGATAGCCTTCTTTAAAAGAAAAAACCAGGAAAAAAATTAGATGTAATTGTGCTTGCAGCTGCAGGACTCTGGCAATAGGGTTTTGGAAAATGTAATTTAAAAATGTGTTTGTATGGATTGTTTTTGTTTACATTTCTTTAAAAAAAAATACTGTTTTGTGTTTGCTTGTAGAAACTTAATCAGCATTTTGAACCAGGTTAGCTTTTTATTTTGTACTTAAAATTCTGGTACTGACACTTCACAGGTTAAATATAAAACAAATGAAGTTTTTTGTGTGCACAATTAAAGTGGACTGTAAACTGTTGGTATATTCAGTAATACAGTTCTGAACTTGTAATGTATATGGCATGATGTATTTTTATCTTACAGAATAAATCAATTGTATATATTTTTCTCTTGATAAATAGCTGTATGAAATTGTTTCTTGAATATTTTTCTTCTCTTGTACAATATTCCAACATCCTACCAGTATTTGTCCTACAGTTTTTTCTGTTCTGTATAATAGTATCTAATGTTGGCAAAAAAAAAAAGAAAAAAAGAAAAAAAATTTTGAAGTATACAGAGTGTTATGGGTTTTGGAATTTGTGAAAACAGATTTAGAAGATCAGCATTTACAAATAAAATATTTTACATCTATACATGATGATTCCACGTTTTCATTTTGGAGAGTCCGTTTTCTGTTTGATCCAGTGTTACCTCACCTGTCTCTACCGCTGAGCATCACGACTCTGTTAGCAGGCACAGCTTCCTCTAAGCCCAGCTGTATCCAGAATTGTTCGCTACAAAGCCATGCCCACAACATCTACCAGGTCTTGGCACTTGAAGTTAGGGGAACTAAGCTCCAGCTCAAGGGGCAAAGTATTGCATCCACCAGAAGAAAAGGGTCTTCCCAGAGAAGAGCCAACCAACCTCCACCAAGTCGCTACCACTTCACAGTAAAGCCTCCAGCATCCCTTCTGCATAAAGGGCCAGGACATGAACCTCTTCACCTTCATTTTACACAAAGAAAAGATTTCCAGGGCCCAAGATTTATTTATTTGAAAAATGGAAGAAGCAAAAAGAATGGGGGAAAGCCTTCCAACGCGCCTCTTATTTCTCAATGATACATGCAGCTCCTCCCAGGCACTCAGACTGACTTGGACATTAGAGAACTATTGTTCCATCCATGTTGTGTCATTCAGCATTTGAGAGGAGTCCGATTCCTGGTGGGCACATGGCAACCAACTAGCTCTATACCTAGTTCTGGTGAAACGTCAGAGATGCAGGACCTTGGGACATGATCACCTGGACTTGAGCTGTAGTGCCACTGCGCTGCTGTGAGCCCCCACAACCAGCTGCTGCTCCCTGTTATCTTGACATGTGATAGCTGCCTGTCTTCTGTTCAGCAGAGCTACAGAGTCATGTCTGGTAACAGCTGAAAAGCAGCAGAAGACAGAAGAGCCCCTGTCTGATGCTGTTTATCTCTTCAGTCAGCACAGAGGCATCCAAGAGGTGCTGTGGGAAGTTTTTCAAGAGCCTCCGGAAGCAAAGTATGTCCTTGCTGCCGCAGTCATGAGCCTCTCTTCCCCCAGAGAATGGTGTCAGAGAGGTGTGTAGGACCTCAAATCCCACCCAAAACCTCAACCACAGCTGGCCTGCCCCAGGCGCATGAGGGTTCGCATGCAGATGAGCGCCCCTCTCAGCCTGTTCGGGAAAAGATCTTACAAACTCCAGAGATTCCAGGTTCCAGAAAGGTACAACCCGGTGTCCCTTTTGCAAAGCAGCATTTGTGCATGGTTGGTGAGGAAGCAGTGTAAAAACCTGCATGTAAGTCCTTTCTCCTTTGTCCTTCCCACCTTGGTGGAATGGTTGGGGGGACTTTTCTCCTCAGAGGAGGTCTCTCGGTGCTGTCTCTGCCAGCCTGCTCCTGCTGCACCCTGTGACTTGGCTAGGTGTGCAGAGATGTTCGTCTCTCCTGTGAAGCTGTATCAGGCCGTGGTGTAATGGGCATTGTGCTTGTCTGCATTTCAGCCCAAGGACCTAGGAAAAGGGGACTTTGATTTCAGGCTGCAGTGGAATGGGAATTGTTTCTATTTGGTTTTCTGCCCATTAAACTGCCAAGGAAAGTTGTTCAGTGACTGATGGAGGGGGAAAGTTTTCTCTTCCCTTTTCTTGCCCCTAAGGAGCGCATCAGGCAGTCTGTGAACAGCAGAGGCAGATGAAGACTCCATTTCACATATATACCAATGCACCATCGTGGGATTATAGGGAGGTAAGTGAAATCCCTTTCCATGTTCAGAAGGATTCCTGATTTTGTGAGTGATACAAGGGTGCAGACATGGGTGCTAGCTAGCCAGTGCTGGGTGTATACATGTGTTGTACATGTGTGCACACGTGCAGACATTCTATTTTTTCACACTTCTAGAAACATCTAGCAAGCTGAAAGCCATGGCGTTTCAAAGCAGCAGCACCGCGTGGAGCCCAGGGTCAGCTGGCTCCGTGTAGCATTTCAAAGTGGCAGTACAGCATACAGCCTGCTGACCCCAGGCTCCATGCCGGCGCTTCTGCTTTGAAATGCACAAGAGCCCCCCCACTGGGGACTCCTGTACATTTCAAAGCTGGCATACCTGCGTACAGCCTGTAGTCAGCAGGGACTGCCCTCTGGCCCCGGGCTGCACATGGAGTTCCGCATTCCTCCTTTGAAATCAAGTTAGTCAATTGAAATTCCATCGACTACTCGACTATTAAATTACTCGGTACTTAACATCCTTCATTTGTACCAGAACCTCTTGAACTGAGGGGTCCCCAGAGAGCATGCTGCCTTTCTCCTGTAAGCAGAGTGGGGAAGTACTGCAAACACACTATCAGAGATAAAATGTTATATATAAAAAAACCCACACACAAAGGCTGGTACAGCAGTAGCTTCCTAGCAGGAAACATACACAGGGCCTTCCTTCCAGAAGATCCCATATTCCAGAGGTTCTCAGCCTTTTTCTTTCTGTAGCCTCTCCTCCCAAACATGCTATAATAAATTCCATGGTCCACCTGGCTAGAACAGCTGTTTTTCAGAAGTTTAAAAGGCAGGGCTGGCATTAGGGGGTAGCAAGTAGAGCAATTGTCCAGGGCCCTGTGAAGCTATGTTGTTCAGACTTCAGCTTCAGCCCCAAGTAGTGGGGCTTGGGATTCAGCTTTCTGCCCTGGGCCCCAATGCCTCTGATGCTGGCCCTGCTCTCCGGAAGCTTCCTCTTCCTTTTTAGAGGTTTCATTATGTCTGAGTGTTTACGTCCCTTCCCAACCCAGGGGTGATAAGAGTTCAAAGCTTCTCTAGCTTTGGCGATGGAAATAATGTTCTGGGCAGAGAAGAATCTGCCACCTTTCAAGACCATTCAGATAAAGCGAGAAGGAAAGAGGAAAAGGGAGAGGAAGGAAGGCCCTGTTTGTTTCCAGCTAGGGAGCCACTGCTGCACCAGCCTTTGCTGCTGTTTTTTTCCCTCTTCCTAGTCCCATCCACTGGCCCAGAAAGCACTTCAGACTTGACAGCCAAAGAACCCTCCACAGCAACTGCAGAAAACTCCAGATCTGTTTGAACAAGGGACTTTTTCCTGCAGAGGCAGGTAACTTACAGTTAACAGCTGGGTGTTCAAAGTGTTTGGGTACGTCTAGACTACCGCGTTTTGTCGACGGAAGTTTTGTCGACAGATACTGTCGACAAAACTTCCGTCGACAATTTGCGTCCAGACACATGGAGTTCTGTCGACAAAGCAAGCCGCTTTGTCGACAGAACTCCGTAGTCTGGACGCAGTGTTACAGGCAATAACACCTTCTGTCGACAGAAAGTGTTATGCCTCGTAAAATGAGGTATACCAGCGTCGACAAAACTGCGGAGTTCTGTCGACGTTATGTCGACAGAACTCAGCGGTAGTGTAGACGCTGGTATTGTTTTGTCGACAAAACTAGGTAGTCTAGACACACCCTTTGATTCTACATTAGCTCACCAGTGCTTTGGGGGCTCCAGAAAGAACTCGGCCATGAAATTAAAGTAATTGATCTGGTCAAGCTATGTTTTTGTAGTGCAAAATCCTCATCAGTTAGCATGCTGGAAAACTATTTGTGAAGGAAGCAACGTTCCATACCACATTCTTAGTAGCATGTGGGGGCGGGCAGGGAATGTATGACTTTACAGCCAGACAGGACCATCATAATTATCTAGTCTGACCTCCTGCAACATTGCAGCCCCAACCTCATCCATGATTCCTGTCATGGACCTCTAACATCTGGCTGAGTTACTAAACTCCTTGAATCATGATCTGAGGAACATTTGCAAAGTAGGTTTCCAGGCCTCCACAGAGAGATCCCTGAGTTGGAGGGTGGTACTGGGTTGGTTCCCAAACAGTTCCTTAAATCACAAGGTTCTTGGTCTGTGCTGGAGGGGAATGCTGAGACGTCTCTTTTTTTCCTGTCTATTCTGACAATGATTAAATTTTCTGCTTATCCTTTCCCTCCCTACTTCTGGTTCATTGCTTGCTGCATCTCAGCAATGACAAATGAGGAGAGAAGTTGTGTAGCAGGGTGAAACAGTTCTTACCTGACTATTTTTTGTTAGCAATTTCTCGCTTCATTTAACCCAGCCTGGAACACAATTTGTAACAAACTGAAATGTTTCCGTAAAGGGGGCTAGGACAAATAATTACCATGAGGTTATTTATCTAGGAGATCAAGTTGTCATCTGAGCGCCAATAGTTGGTTGCTGGAGAATTTCCACAGCTTTAGAACGAACTCTTCTGCTTGCCTGAGCTGAAAAGCAGGACTTAGCCCTAGATCCTTGAGCATTAACACTGGACTGCCTCCACATTCCACAGGTGGGGGCCCTTAGAAATGAATGACCGAGAAAAGCTGTTAACCAAAAATCAGGTAAGACATTTTTCATTCCTTATGCAACAGCTGCCATGCTTTGAGGAAACAGTTGGGTCTGTGAAGGCCGCACTAGGAGGCTGTCACGTGGGAGCAATGAAATAAGGGAATGGGGCAATGGAGCTGAAGGAGGGAGCAGGAGAAGCAAATTTCAAAGAAGGGGAACCTTCATGTGCAAAGCCACCTCTCTTAACCCTTCAAGCAGCATGAGGTCAAAGAGAGAGTGATCAGGCTGAAGAGAAGATAGTGAGAAAAAGGAATAGGAGCCTCATTGTGAAGAAGTGGGGCATTTGCTGCATTTTCCAAGGGTTTGCATGCAGGGGGCGGGGGGCAGTCGGCAGGACGCTGTGTCCCTGGGTATTAATGAGGTGAGGGGAGAAGGAGTAAATGGGGTTAATGTTCTTTGTCTGCCTGGTCTATTTAGAGTGCAAGCTCTTTGGGAGAGGGTTTGCACAGCTGGGCCGATTTCAGTTGGAGCCAATAGACAAAGCAGAGGAAAAATGAGAGAATCACGGAAGGAGAAAAACAGATTTCTCTCTACATTGCTAACACTAACCTTGTAATTGCCCTAGCATTGACTGAGCTCACAACAGATGACAGCCACACTTACAGAGGGTGAACACCCTGGGAAAGCAAAGAGGAAAAGATGTCACTTTTCCTTTTAACTGCTGCAGGACAGGACACTTAAAACCACTGATGATTTTGTAGCCGGCTTCCTGCATGAAGCCATCAGGTATGTTTTGGACTCCTCCTGGTTAACTGGAGAATAAGCTCAACCAAAAAAAAGAGTGTCTAGGGTTATCAAATAATTAAAATCACAATCACTCCTTTAATTGCACAGTTAAACAATAATAAGAATGCCTCTTTATTATGAATATTTGGGTGTTTTTCTACATTTCCAAAATATATCAATTTCAATTACAATACAGAATACAAAGTGTAGAGTGCTCCTTTTATATTCTTTCTTATTACAAATATTTGCACTGTAAAAAAGATAAGACTGTCCGGTCTACAAGTTGAAGCAGGAAGGGGCATATTGACCCTTCAGCATATCTGGCATGTCAATACCTTGCACTGCTGGCTACAACAGTGCCATGCAATCGCCTGATCTCACTTTCAAGTCATACTATAAATAAGAAGCAGGATCTCCTGTAAATGTAAACACACTTGATTGGCTGAAGAAGTAAGGCAGAGTGGACTTGAAAGCGCTAAAGTTTTACATTTTTGTTTTTGAGTGCAGTTACGTTAAAAACTAAGTTGCACTTCCACAATAATGAGATTGCATTACAGTACTTGCATGAGGTGAATTGAAAAATACTATTTATTTTATCCAGCGCAAATATTTATAATAAAAATAATACTAAGTGAGCGCTATTGACTTTGTATGCCATAACAAATCGCTGTATTTCAAAAGGCAGAGAAACATTCAAATGATTCATAATACATTTAAATTGGAATTTTATTGTTAACAGGGCAATGAAAACTGCAGTTAATTGTGCTTAACTTCTAATTGAGTTAATTTGTTTTGAGTTAATTACTTGAATTAACTGCAATTAATTTCTCAGAGGGATAGCCGTGTGAGTCTGCAACTTTAAAAACAATGAGTAGTCCTGTGGCAGCTTGGAGACTAACAAAAATATACAGTATCATCTGATGAAGTGGGTTTTGCCCACGAAAATATATTTTTGTTAGTCTCTAAGGTGCCACGGGGCCACTCTTTGTTTCTGCAATTAATTGACAGCCCTAGTAGGGTCACATGCTGCTCCTCAACTCTCTGAGATTTTGTGAATTACAAAGTTTGGGCCAGTTCCTGAGTGATTCTTGCAGCTCCTGTAACTACCATCGGAGCTGCCGGTGCTTTCACCTCATTCACTGAATCCCTCCAACTGGCTTTTTGTGGCATTTCTTCCTCCTCAGCACTGCAAGGGCCACTTAACTCTACTTCATTTATGCCCTAGTATCAATAGGTTCTTGTAGTACTAACAATAGCTTAACTTAAACTGCTTCATCTTTGCATTTTTTCCTGGCCACGAAAGGGTGGGAAGGTTGGGAATGGGAGACTGTCGTGGCTGTGGGGGGAAGAGGCACTTGAAACTATGCTGCACGTGGACAGAAGGGCTTGAGCAAAGGGTGGAGCGGAGAGCTAGTGGAAGGCTGGAGAAGGCTACTGGTTCTATTGGCAACAGTGTCAACTTGCCCTCTGCTGAGGGGGACAGAGAGTAACTTGTGGGAGAAAAGTAAGAGGAGAAGCTTCAGGGGAGCCTGAAAACTCCTGCTATTCCCCAGGTGTCCCTGAAGGGCATCAGACCTAAGAAGTTAATGGCAACAGCTTTAAAGAGGCCAAGAGTCACGGCTGAGACAGCAAAGGGGGGAGGGTGATAAGGGAAGACGTGAGAGTGAGCAAGAGTGAATGAGAGTAGCAGGAGGAGGGGAATGAACCTGATTCTTTCCACATGTATTTTGGTTATTTCTGATGGGCAAAAGTTGGGAAACCGGAGCAGGAGGGAGAACTTTTCCTGAACCATTTAAGAACATAAGAACGGCTATACTGGGTCAGACCAAAGGTCCATCTAGCCCAGTATCCTGTCTGCCAACAGTGGCCAGCACCAGATGCCCCAGAGAGGGTGGACTGAAGACAATGATCAAGCGATTTGTCTCCTGCCATCCTTCTCCAGCCTCTGACAAACAGAGGCCAAGGACACCATTTTATCCCCTGGCTAATAGCCTTTTATGGACCTAACCTCCATGAAATTATCCAGCTTCTCTTTAAACTCTATTATAGTCCTAGCCTTCACAGCCTCCTCTGGCAAGGAGTTCCACAGGTTGACTACACGCTGTGTGAAGAAGAACTTTCTTCTACTAGTTTTAAACCTGCTACCCATTAATACTTAGATGCCGCCAAGCGTTTGCGCAACCATCATGCTCTAATGTGCCGGTGACATGCTGCTTCGCTACCAAACATCGCTCCTGCCCGGGCTCCACTGGGGCACGTGTGAGGACCCCCTGATTCTACTGAAAAAGTCTTGAGTGCAGAGAGTGCTGGTACCCAGATGTGCTCTAGGGACACTACTCAAAGAAGAACCCAACTTTTTTTTCCCATCTTCATAATCTTAAATGTTCGGCACATAATACCAGGCGCTACGGTGAAAGATCACAGTGTAGAGGCTGAGGTGTCTTCACAAGCATCTTTACAAAAACCTCTGTTTAAGTACAAACAAATGTCTCCAAATTATCAGACTCTGGTTTATTTAAACCTTGGCTTGCACTAGTCTCTTGCAGTCTGTACTTCTAAAGCCAAAGGCAACAGATCAAACCTCCATAGTGATTAATAAAAAACATGAATGCTTTATTTTAAATGCAGATGCCATCACAAGTCATCAAAATAAACTTTGTAATAGTAGCTTTGTTTTAAATACTGTATGGAAAATGACAACTGAAAATTGAACTATGTGAAGTGGACTAAAACCGTAAATTAACAAAACTAAAATTAAATATTACAAATGACAATTTGCAGAAAGACAAGAGGAAATTAAAATATATTCCAGATGAGCTAAAATAATTCAGCCATTAAAATAGACTAAAAATGTAAATGATCATGATGCTGCTCATGAAACAGTGGAAAGGAGAACTTCCTTCCTTTCTGTCTTTTGTCATTTAAAAAGGTTCATGGAGTTAAAATAGTACCACAATTCAAATTACATTGTTCTAATTATTTGCTCTTATTTAAACAATAACAGTTTATTCATTCAGGATAATCCAAGGAAATGCTGATAAATGCTGTGCAAGGGGGCTGCTGCTGCTACTCCGGCATTTGAATGATGCATCATCTCCTTCCAAACCTTCCCAAACACCTGGGTGGTTATGGCAAAACATTTAAATAATCTAATGCTTCACACTGTCCATGTAAGGGATAGCAGCTAAGGGCTCCTTCCACGCCCTCCAGGAAGACTTACAAACCAATGGCTGAGGAGGAGCCAGATCTCTGCTAATTGCCTCTCTCTGCCGCTTTCTCAGATTCAGCTTTCCAGGTGCCATTGCTGAGGGAGGGAGCCATCACAAATAGCCATGGTAACATATCCTTTATGGCTAAGCGGATCAACAACCTTCATGCACTGCCCTACAGAGACCTGGTAGAGTCTATTGTTCTTCTGGAGAGAAAACAAATAACAGATGTACATATATACACAGAATAAGAGGAAATACAAAGCCACTGGCCTTCCCTCTGTCCGTAAACTGAAAATGAGTGATGTCAGAGTGAGAGGGCTATTCTAAAGCACTGCATCCTTCAGAAGGTCTTCCCGTCCCAATCCAGGCTACAGCTATAACCAAGGCAATACACCTGGCCCCTGAGCCAATTGGTTCACAGCTGTAGTGTAGCATCTGTCCCAATAAATGCTGGAGAGAAGAGTTTAGCCCAGTTACCAGGTTAAGCTACATCTGTGCTATGGTTTGTAAACATGTAGGACAAGGCATGGAATGGGGTCCCAGCCCTCTATGGAGGCATAACTGACCAAGTTATGTAGAGACCAAGTCTGTTGACGGGGGGGACAAGAGGGAATCTGCTTTGAGCCTAGTGATTCAAAAGGGCCTGTGGCTCCTGGCTGAGCAGAGAGAGCTGTGGGCCCTATAAATCACCCCGAGCCTTTGGGGGCCATGCTCCAGGCAGTGCTAAGGGCTGGGGGAGGAGGGGTGGGCAGCACGGTGTGATCTGGCCACTGCTGAGACCTGACTGCCCCCAGCCCTGCCTCTTCCACCCAAAACCCCTCCTCTTCTGGGAATGTGTAGCGGCCCCACCCTCCTCCACCTTGTTCAGGGACCCAGCCGTTCTGTCTGCCCCTCTGGCAGGGACACACTGCCCAACGCCCAGTGGGGGTTCTGTGGGCATGCACCAGACACCGGCACTAGCACTCAGGAGAGGGGCGGGATGAGCTACTCAGAGCTAGCAGATCCGATCCTATGAGAACAAGTTTCAGAGCTGCAGGCTGATGGATGAACTAGGCAAAGCCAACTTTTTACTTCACCTGCCAAGGCCTTTTTACTTCACCTCCCCTGACCCTGGTCTGGGGAGATCTGGGGCCAGCTCCAGCTAGAGTTAGTCACCCACTGGCTCTTTCCTTCTTAGAGAAGGCCCCATGTGCGCGCACTCAATCCGTCTGCACAGGAATGTACCCGCTCTCCGGGGGGGGTTCTGCTGGTGCTCGACTGCCATTGTATTAATGCTTACGTTAAAGGGCGGCAAGTTTTCCTGCTGCCAGTGTGTCCTGACTCAGCAGCGGGGAAGGCTTTGCGTTAAAACTCTGAGAAGGACGTGAAGTTTTGGCTCAGCGGCTCCTTTGTGAAGTCGGCCATTTAAAAGCAACGTGAGAAACAAGTGGAGGTAACAATTTTAATTTGCCTGATTTAACGTACACTCCTACTCTGAGAAGTGACTGTAAAAATAGTGTAACACGGACAGGCAGAACCAAACCTGGGCCCTCTGGAGCTTACGGCATGAGCTTCTGCCACATGAGCAAAAAGCCAGCTGGTTCTCAGTGAAGGCTCATTTCTCTCTCTCGGGGTGGTGTAAGTGCCACTATATGAGACAGTGAACCACACCCGGCAGGTGTGTGGATTACAACAGCACCTTTTTACTCCTCAGATGTGCTTCCTGCACATGTCCAGGCTCAGACCCATCTAGCTATTGACACAAATGTTTTTACTGCTTCTTACCCCTGTTCATCCTGCGGTGCCAATGCAGCTGAGACCATGACTTGAGTTCTAATGCTCCCTGTGCATCGCAGAATTGATTACTTTATTGGCATTATAACTGTGCAGCCTCCTTGATGGGAATGAACCTAATGTGGTCTGGCAAATCTTGATTATGGAAAGCAAAAGAATTCACCTTGACTTAGAGTCCAGCTTGTGAAGCCTTGTCTGTGCTGCACACAAGTTGTATTGTGACTTGCAGCTATGCAATTTTCCCTATTAAACTGAGCACATTTGATACAGAAACCATATCCCTGGACTCCCATAAAATGCCATTTTCACTGTAACTTTTCAGTGTAGCCCGGCACCATCAACAAGGGGATGGGTATGAGTATTCCCCACGCAAACCACTCACCCCAAACGTCCACTGCTGTGACCCTCCGGATCCATGGCATTTCATGAGACGAGGTGGATCTGATGAGCGAGTTTCTGATACATCCAAGCAGAGGAGATTATTTAAAATCAACTCATGGTCTTCATTATAAATCCATATCTGGGGAAGAGACAGAAAAAATGTTTGGCATGACGTACATAGGGTTGATGGGGATTCAGTGCCCTTGAATGGTTCTTCTGGTTATCCAGAAAGCAGGGCAGATTATAATTTTCAGATGCTTCCTGGCCCTCTCCTGTTAATTTAATCTTTCCTCCCGTCCTTTCTTGTGCCCCCTGCTGCTTGATCTCATCTCCTAGCTCCAACTCCCGGTCTATTCCTCAGTTCTGATCTTTCACTGTCTAACCCTGACGGGCAACCTAGACAAGTAAGTGGGGTGCATTGAGTGGCCCTCCTTCACCTCGGTGGGCTGCAAGCCTGTCATAACTAAGATGGTCTCCCCGTCCGCCCAAAATAGGGTAGTTTTGCTAACTGGGCAAGCGTACCTAGAATTTGCAGTGTGTGCCGACTGACCGACAGAGCACTTGGATCGGAGGCACCGGGGGCACACGGCTCTCACAGCCAATGTTGTGTGTAATCAACATGCACCTCACTTCACATGCCCTTGATTTACATGCATGTTACTTTTGTAATATTGGTAGGAAAAAACTGTGGTCAGAAACCAACGGAATCTGGCAACCCTGCATGCGGGCAGCGGTAAACAAAATGTCTCACAGGCCACACACAGAACCCTGATGGGCCGCAGGTTGCCCACTGCTGGTCTTACCCCTACCTAGAAGTCTCCCCTTGGGATGTCACATGATTGTGGTCTCTGTACGCCGGTTTCTCTGAGCCTGCTGTAATTAGCATTTTTAAAAGTAGGCATCTTCCCCCTGCCGAGATCCTGAGTTCTGCTTCTCGCCGCCAGTGCAAAATAAGGGAGGCACTTGGGCTCGGAGAACATAGCACAAGCCCCTTGCTGAGAATCTGCCATTTTTCCTCTGACAGCTCCATGCATTTAACTTCAGGACAATGTAGTAAGATTATAACCACGCCAGGCTCTCTCACCATCAGGTCATGGATCCAGGAAGCAAAAACCTACATGTTCTTAGTGGAGGAAGATCCACAGAGCATAAACAAACAGTGAAGGGGCTGTAAAGAGTTCTGCAGTGGCCTAGAGGATAGGGCATTTACCTAGGGACTATAGGGTGGTGGGTTCAAATCCTGCTCCCATCCCACTCTTGGAGCAGCCAAACAGCCACCCCAGAGCAGGAACTGGCTCTAGCACTCAGAAGGCAGGATAAGGGATGCCGGTGAGGTGGTTTCCAGAGTGGCCTAGGAGCCTAGAGTCCAGGCTGGAAGTCTGGGAAAGCAGTGGCAGGAGCTGCAATAGTACAGTTTCAACATTTAAAGACTATTTAATTTGCTGAGACTGATGAGAGCCCTGGGCCAATCAAGCATGTAAGCATATGCTTAGCAATGACTGGGAGCAGTGTCAGCAAAGTCCATGGGTGGAAAACCAAATAAAGCAGCATAAAACGTGACTGTGCTCACCAGCCGCTAGTCACTGGAGTGACCCTAGAGAACCACAGGGACACTTCTCTTTGGGTTCTGTTACGTCTGCTGGGGAGCTTTCATTTCAGCCTTTTAGCCTGGCAGAGAGGCTAAGCTCTCTGTGGCCCAGAGGGGCTGAAGTTCCTTCTTGCAAACCGAGTTAGGGCTGACATTTTCAGGTGCAATTTACGGGCTTGCTCTTCTAGTGAGAGCAAATGCTTTTGCTCGTCCTGCTGTGAGGCGAGGTGTTTCTTGAGAAACAGCTGGCAGTTGTTGTATACTGTCAGCTATGTAACTCCCCGTGTCCACGTATTTTCTGTTCGATGACTGGTATGTTTTGTACAAAATACACTTTGTAAGCTATCATTTGAAAAGTAATAATCCATTAAGTATTTCTGTCCTCCTAAAATGTGTGCATCAACTTTGTATATGGAGTTATAAGACTTTTGTTACGTGTTTGTTATTGAAACATGCTGGCTACGTCTAGATTGGCATGATTTTCTGGAAATGCTTTTAACGGAAAAGTTTGCCGTTAAAAGCATTTGCGGAACAGAGCATCTAGATTGGCACGGATGCTTTTCCGCAAAAGCACTTTTTGCGGAAAAACGTCTGTGGCCAATCTAGACGCGCTTTTGCGCAAAACAAATCTGAGCTGTCTACACTGGCCCTTTTGCGCAAAAGTTTTGCGCAAAAGGGACTTTTGCCCGAATGGGAGCAGCATAGTATTTCCGCAAAAAGCACTGATTTCTTACAGTAGGAAGTCAGTGCTTTTGCAGAAATTCAAGAGGCCAGTGTAGACAGCTGGCAAGTTTTTCTGGAAAAGCAGCTGATTTTCCGGAAAAACTGGCCAGTCTAGACACAGCCACTGAGTCTGGGTAACACCCACAGTCTGGCTTCTCAGAAAGAACAAATACCTTGCATGGCACCCCAAAAGTCTAATACAGAGAAGACACAACAAAAAGTCCTATAGCATCTTAGACCTTGTCTATATTAGGGAGTTATTTTGAAATAACAAGCAGAGCGTCCACATTTCCAAGCCCGTTATTTCAAAAACGGGCTGGTTATTTTGAAATCCATACTCCTGCTTTTCTCAGGGAATAATGCTTATTTTGAAATAGTTATTTCAAACGAGCATTAATGTGGATTTCAAAGTAAATTACTCCCCAGTGCTTCCTGAGGCTCTAAGTTGAGATAGCACATCCATAATAATGCAGTCTGCCTTGGACTAATTTTGAAGCTCCCCTATTTCGATATACAGGCAGTCCCCGGGTTACATGGATCCGACTTACATCGGATCCCTACTTACAAACGGGGTGAGGCAACCCCGCACTAGCTGCTTCCCCCCAGCAGACCAGGGAGACGCGGAGCGGCTTTTCTCAGCAGACACCTCAGCTTGAGAATAAAGGACTGAGGGAAGTGAGGTGTGGGAGAATAAAACTGAGCTCTGGAGAAATGTTTGGCTAGAGTTTCCCCTACAATATGTACCAGTTCCGACGTACATACAAATTCAACTTAAGAACAAACCTACAGTCCCTATCTTGTACGTAACCCGGGGACTGCCTGTACTATTTCGATTTTATTATTCCAGGAGTTGTTTATCCAATTTAGTTATTTCCCTCTTTCTTTCATTGTCATTCTATATACCCATGCCTCTGTAAACTCCACTCCAATTCATCTAATTAAGTGGGTTTTACCCTTGAAAGCTTCTGCCCTAATTAATCTGTAAGTCTCTATGGGGTCATCGCACAGCTCTTTTTTGCAGACGCAGATGAACACAGCCACCCCTTTGAGATGTGTACAGAAGGTGTGAGCAAGAAATTTAAAATTCACCTGAGACACTTTGAATCGCTGAAGTCTACAGGGCACTGTTTTGTCTACATTTCAGAAGGAGGGGTTTTCCAGGAGAGGAGCAGGGTCTTAAATAGGACACAAGGACTTTGCAACCTCATCGCTACTAAAACAAGTTTGCTTGACTGAACTAGGGAGATTGGTCCCAATCTGGGAAGGGAACTGAGCCTGTGTACTAAGAATTGTGAACTGCCAGCAATATCTAGAGGTGAGCGAAAACTGCTTGCTTCAAATGTTATCTTGGTAAAGTTTTGGAATTAGTGATTTTTTATCATCTTATTTCTTTTTGTAACCAATTCTGACCCTTTATCACTCAGAAGCCCTTAAAACACACATTTATAAGGGCAGATGTTTATGTAAAGCAGTGAGCTTTGTTTGAAGTGTTTGGGGAGTCCCTGTGCAGCTCACCCAGACAGTGCATAATAAAATGATAAAATTATGAGCTCTCATTTTCTATGGTGGGCTTGAGCAGGGTGAGAGACACAGGCTTGAGGGGCAGGGAAGAGCTGGTGGGTACTGGCAGATGTGTCTCGCTGTATATACAGTTCGGCTGTGTCTAGACTGGCAAGTTTTTCTGGAAAATCATCTGCTTTTCCAGAAAAACTTGCCAGCTGTCTACACTGGCCGCTTGAATTTCCAGAAAAGCACTGACGATCTCATGTAAAATCATCAGTGCTTTTCTGGAAAAATTATGCTGCTCCTGTTCGGGCAAAAGTATTTTTCCGAAAGACTTTTGCGCAAAAGGGCCAGCGTAGACAGCAGAGATTTGTTTTCCGCAAAAAAGCCCCGATCGCAAAAATGGCAATCAGGGCTTTTTTGCAGAAAAGCGTGTCTAGATTGGCCACGGATGCTTTTCCGCAAAAAGTGCTTTTGCGGAAAAGCGTCCTGCCAATCTAGACGCGCTTTTCCAAAAAATGCTTTTAACAGAAAACTTTTCCGTTAAAAGCATTTCCGGAAAATCATGCCAGTGTAGACGTAGCCCTCATGAGTGGCTGGGAGAACATTTAGGTAACGTTGCTGGGCGTGCTAATAGCTGTGTGACAGCAAAGCCTGGAGGGACTGTTATCTCTAGCACAGCAGTATGCGCGAGAGTCCGATCTAGAGAGTTAAAGGGGTATGACACAACCATGTTACCCGGTTTGTTTCAATCCTAGCTGGTTATGCCCAGGGACTGGACCGTTATTTGGAATTCACCATTCCTGGAAAGGCTGGCTTAGTACATGTGACAGCCCTATAGGTTTCTCCACTGTGCTCATTTAGTCTGGGCAGCCTACAGGACTTTGCTAAATTAATCCCTGGTTGGCTAAAGCATTGCACCAGATCAATCCGGATTCAAAAAGTCTAAGTGAGGGGGTGCAATGCTGTCCCATGTTGCTCAGGCTGCAGACACAAGCTAAGCCCTAACAGACTCAGAGCTTGAGCCTAGACCAGTTCACCCATATGTTAATTTTGCACAAAACTGGTATTAGTCTTTATAAGAAAGTATGTAGTGTTTAGACTCGATGACATGCAGGTAAGTTACATGGGCCTAGGGCAATTCTGCACTTTACTATGGACTAGCTACTGCAAGCAGTACCCACAGTTGCGATGTCCATATGCATTGCTACAAGAAAATATGTTTCGTTTTGAAAATGTTTGCTGTGAATGCAGGCATAGGAATCATTCATCCCCCTTCATTCCCCCACTCCACCACCACCCATAATCCAGAAAGCCTATAAAAA